TGGCGCCGCTCCCCTCTTGCAGCGACCCCGACAACGTCGCGTTCTGCGTGCTGGCCACGGACGAGGAGGACGAGGGGGACATTGCCCTGCAGATCCACTTCACCCTGATCCAGGCTTTCTGCTGCGAGAACGACATCGACATCGTGCGGGTGAACGATGTGGCCAAGCTGGCTGCCATCGTGGGCCCCAGCGAGGAGTCTGGGGAGCCGCGGGATCTCCACTGCATCCTCATCACGGTGGGTGTCCGGCGGGAGGCGAGCGGTGCTTGCTGCGACGGCGATGCCGGCCGGCCTCTACAGGGCACGGCTAGAGCCTTTTGGGGGCGGCCCCCCGTCCCGCTGGTGGTCAGATCCCCTTCTGGGCAAAGGAAGGGGGCTTGGCACACGCCATACGGCCAGTCAGCAGAGTAGCAGTAGAAGGCTATGCTTCTCGTAACTGTGGATTTCCTCTGTTGTCCACAAGGGTAACATCTTTGCTTCCTGCTTTGTGTCTGTGTCAGGACCGAAACTGTCTGAAAATGCCTTGCTTCCTAAGCTAATGCTTCTGTAAATATTGTGATGACCTCAGCTGGTGGGCAGCACTGACAGTGTGTGACTTTTTTCTTTCTGGCAGAACCCGAATGAAGATGGCTGGAAGGACCCAGCTCTAGAAAAGCTCAACTCGTTTTGTGAAGAGAGACGAAATGTCAATGATTGGGTGCCAACTATCACCCTGCCTGAGTGATGGTGACCCAGTGCATCGGGGAGGCTGAAACCTTTGTTGCATTCTCAACGTGGCATGGGCTCACCAAAGTGTGCAACAAGCTGCTGATTCCATGGATTAGCCTGGTCAAGAGACTGGATTAAAGTCACTCAGACTGGCATGCAGTGGGCTCTTATGGAGGAGGAAGAGGAGAACAGCTCACCTCACCAGTGAGCCTCAGTAGGCTGCAACCGTGGAGGGGCTGACATACCATGGAACTGAAAGAAGTATTGCAAGTTCCCTGGTCAAGTGGAGCTGTTTCAGAAGGCAGAGAGAAAGTTGGGGGAAGTGGGCCAAAACTTTCCAGAAGGACTGGACAGAGTACTGTAACTAGGAACTGTCGGCGCCGTGTACAAAACAGAGAGAAGAAAGTTTCAATATTTGATGGACCACTAGAGACTGGTTACTAAGATGAATATAGAGACTCCAAAGCGGACAGACTTCAACAGGCCTCTTGGGTCACTCTGCAGAACTGGTTTAATAATGCAATAATTTTTAATGAAATATTGGCTGCTATTGAAGCTTTCATAATAAATTTTTGACAATTAATTTCTGGGAGTGTCTTGCTTACTGGGTGGGGAAGCATGTCACTCAAATACCACTGATGTTTTGCTCGTGTGCTGTAGTCAAAGGTATATTCCACAGTAATGGAGCTATTGCTCAAATACTTTCTCTCCTGGGCCAGCTGAATGAAGAGCTGTGCTTGTCCAAGTTGATAATTCAACCTTTCACCCTCTTGCAACAGCTGCTTATCGCAACAGCTTGCAAGACTAAAGAGCTGCATGCTTAATGAGCTCACTTATTGTAATAGGTGGTCTTTGTAGTCTACTGAAGGAACACAATACATGTTAGAAACATGGATTTTTTTTTTTTTTGGAATACAGACCTCCAGTAAATTGCATCATTAGTTCCTAAATATGACTTAGTAAGACTCATTCAGAGCTGCAGTGTTCCCACTTGACAGAAGCAGCTTAAACATGATGGGGGGCTGCGAAACTCCTTAGATGTCAAATACATTTAACATTTGCTTTGATTAGAATGACATCGTTAAATCTAAAACTAGCTAATAGTGAATAAACATCACATCTGCCACAAGCTGCTCTCTGATTGCCATATGCTGTAACAATAGAAGCTGTCACTCCAGAAGCCAATTTTGCAAAACCTAATTGCATGACAACACCAAATTAAGTCCAAAACAATTTAAGGATGGTGTGGCCTTTTTTCAGAGATCTTGTCATGGAAAGTTAATATGGGCGGGCTGATTTGGCCCTATGTTAAAAGGGAAAATATCACCCCGCTTCTGTGCACAATCTGTCTGTGCCCCAGGACTTGACAGTAAAAGGGCATAGTAATGATCCCTTCTCCAGAGAGCAAGAAAGCCAAACTACTCACTTCCTCTATAGACACTAAAAATACTCAGTTATCACAATTACATTTCCTCTAGGCTGGCTTGCAGTGATTGACAGTAGCACTTGCTGAAAAGTGGTCATTTCTACATGGGGTACCTTGAACAGTTGCAGTTTCTGGGAAGCTGCTTGCTCTTGGTTTCGTTGTTCCTGATAAGGGAAGTTCAAATTCAGCTCCAGTGTTCCTGGAATACACTCCCTTGTGGAGGAGGTATCTAGCACTGCTTGGTCTTTGTTGCTGCATCGTGAGAGGCTGTAGGTTGGCAGCGTAACCAGAGTTCAGGCTGAAGCAAAAACTATAGGGGCTCCAGACCTCTGCAAGTGTTCCTTCTTGCACTTAAGACACAGGAGTTTCTGCACAGCCTGTTTTTCGACTTAACCTGCGCTCATCAACTGGTGTCTGCTCTAGGACTTTGAGAAAAGTCACACGGAGGAGCTAAGAGAATAAACAGCTGTGGCAGCTGTGATAACAGAAACTGCCTTTAAGGCAATTGATACATAGAAAAATATCAAGTCTGGACACTTTATTATACATTTTTATATTTTTCCCCTAGCACATGCAGGTTTCTTCATTTTCAATGGTTTTACAGCTGAGAAATATATTACTGTTCTTTGCTTGGGGCCTAATCAGTACTCAGAGCCAAGAACAGATTAAAGTAAACTGTCCTGAAATCAACATTTATGTAAAGTGTAATCAGTACTTTACAGCCTTGAGTGGTTTAAACAAAAGCCTAAGACCGAAGGAAGTTCTCAAGTATGTGTGCAATTACATACACAATCGAAGTATAGCCCAGAAAAAGTGCGACTGATTGGCTGGCTGAGACAGTAATCATAAATAGTTGTATTTATGGTAAGAAGTCTAAGTTTCCATCTTTTATGGAAGAAATATATTATGCAGCAAACAATGAAATTAACAAGGTAACACCAAAATACCCTTGTGAGGATGTTGCCTCTAGTCCCGTAGAAGACGGGATGCTGACCTTCGCCTCCCCAGCAGTCCCGTGAAGCTGTAAGCCGTGCCTCATGAGAGGTACACAATTTCTTATTTTAGTGACCCATACAATTCTCCTGAAATCCTTTCTGCCTCAGTGCAGATACACTGTAACGCAAATAGTATTAAACCGAGTTAGCCTGCAATTGTTATTAATACGGCATTGCAACCAAAGGCAGCTGTAACTTGCAAGTTATGTGCTGCTGCAAATATCTGTAATGATCAACACTACTTAATGTAGCAAAAATTCAGCAGCTGGTATCTACTAGTACAAGCAGACTTCATCTTTATGTGCTCAGATATATAACTGTGCAAGGAGCAACTATACAGTTGTTATAGACAGTAGGCTTGGGTATTACTGAGCGTGGTGGGGACAGCTGGTCGGGAGGTGTTGGCTGGCTCACCAGACGTCCGGGGTGTTCTGTCAGGTACCTGGGGGATCTGGAGGGCGGGGGCAGTAACCCCTTGTGTCTGGGAGCAGTGTGCCCGGCGTACCTCACCTTCCCAGGAAACAGAAATGCCCAGGACAGGGACGCTATGGGTTTGCAGGGCTGGCAAGGGCTCTGCCGCCGTGCCTACCTCCCAGCCGTGCTGCGTGGTCATCACAGGCTGGCTTGCTTTGTGCCACGGTGGGCCACATCTGGGGGCTCTGGGGAGGAGACTGAGGTTAATAGTTATTGATAATAAAGGTGGTTCACCAGGACATGAGCCAGCCTAGTGATGCAGCAGGAGGTGCAGGACATGGAGTGGAGTCACAGAGTGGTGGTGCTTCTGGCTCTGCTTCTGAAGGTCTGCTTTCCATTAAGCCCTTCACTTGTGTGCCACGAGGTGATCAAAACTGTGTATTTAAATATTATAATCATAGACATTTGTGTCATGCTGTCTATACCTCTAAGCACTTTTTTTTTTTTTATGAAGTGATGTATAAAGTTTCATTTAAATTTTTTTTGAGCAATGGGTTTACATTTCTCTGCCTGGGTATCTATTTCACCATCTAATAGTGCTGACTGACAGGAATTTCCCCTCATATGCTGTTTCCTTCTCTTAGCGCTGTTTGCTTCCTGTTACACTTCTGTGCATCTCTTTACTTTTCTCTCTGTTGTGGTTGTAGATGGTGATCTTCTCTTTAGAGGCCTGATTCTTTTAGTATGTGCTATGTTGTGTTAACTGCCTTGTCATCTTAATCAGGATATATATATGCATACTGGCACACAGGACACAGTTGTTGTAAACAATGCTTCCTCTGCTGTTGAGTCAGAAATACAAAAAGGAAGATAATAATAATAATAAAAAGTGTATTAGAAAGAGACAGGCAAGCTGCTGCACAGAATAATGTTTGCATGAAATCTGTGCATACGCTAGATGATCTGCTCAAACAGCGTTTATAGCACTGGATGCTCAGGGAAGGAGCGCTGACGTGCCCTTTTTGCAGCCTTAAGAGTTCTGCAAACTGATGGAGTTCTAGTTGTAGGCGGAGGCTATCTGAATTAATGTATGTTCTGCAAGGAAACTATCTTTGCAAAAATGCTTGTGGTAGGAACATGCCATAGCACCACTGTCTGACACACAAGGGAGACCTCCTTATGTCAGCAAATCTATTAACTCCAGCTATCAGATCCCGTGTCATCAGGAAGAAAGAGCAGTGTGTGCCCATGGCAAGTCAAACCATGGCAAATATACAGACAGTGTATTACTAGTGCAAGCAAATGTCATCACATGTGTGAGCACGGGAGATGTGTGGAGAAGGATGTGTGACTATTGTATTCCTCGTAGGGGCACACATTGCGGGCAGCTGTACTCGTGTCTGTGCATCCACAGGACCTCATCCATTGCAAGGCTGCAGGGGCAGAAACCGAGTCTGGTGGAGGGATGGAGCTGTACAGACAGTACATGCGCCTCACCAGAGCCATTCTTTCTACAGGTTTTTATGAAAACAGCTTCTCA